TCACCAACTCGCAGACCCTCCCGGAGACCCGGATATCCTACCCTGCCTAACACCTCAGGGGGAGAGGAGCACTCGAGGCCCCGCCCCGAGGCCGCCCGCTGCCTGCTGGGGTTTGTAGTTCCTAGGGGCGGGGACAGAGACTTCACGTGTGCGCGCACGCGCCGTGGTGTGTGTGTGTGTGTGTGTGTGTGTGTGTGTGTGTATGTGTGTGTGTGTGAAAATAATTGCATCGCGGCAGCCACCGTATCGTCTCCAGAGTTCTAACCTTGTCCTTCTGGACTTCTGAACCTGGATTTAGCTGCGTCGCAGACCCGAGCTCCCAAGGCCCCGCCCCTTTGGCGCGCTGTCTACTGGGACTTGTAGTTTATACTCACTCGGCCTTGGGCAGGCGGAGCCGACTGGAGTAGGTGTCTTTCCCAGTTCTGGTGTACCAACCAACCCGGAATCTGCACCTCCACCAGTTTGTGCAAGCCTCTCATGACCGACCTACTATGTAGATACTAGCGTCTAGGATGGGCAAATTGGGACACCAAAAGTGGAGCTCTCTGGCCAGGGTTCACCCCCTTGGTCCATGATTATTTCATGCTGATTACACGTGAGATGGCTGAGATACACACATCCCTATATATGTACCTTCCCCTGGCGTGTGTGTGTGTGTGTTAGTCAACTATCTAAATTTGGGTAGTATCTTGCTATGTAGCAGGCTGTCCTGGAACTCATGATCCTTTGGCCCCATACTCCTGAGTTCTAGACGCGTACTCCCCCATAAGTTGGAAAAAAAATTATTTGACAAATTTGTCAACTTCACAGAAGCAAATCCAGAAAGGAAGTCTCCTCTGTTTAAGACAATAAATGGGCAGTTCTGGACTGCACTTCACTTTAAGGATCAGATAAATGGGATTGTGTGTGTGTGTGTGTGTGTGTGTGTGTGTGCGTGCGTGCTTAGTAAACTCTTTTACCCAGGTTATGAGTGAAGTGTTTGGTAGATTCTACCTATTACAATCTGAACTCAAGCCTCTGAAGAAAAGTTTGAGGCCTTGGGGAGCTGAATTTTAAAAGGGAAAGTACAAGCTGGGTTTTGGGAGTGGTGAACACCAGCACTAGGGAGATGGAAGCAAGAAGCTCTCAATCTCCAGGCAGTCTGTGCCACAGAGTGGTACTTTTTCTTAAAAAGGGAGGTTGGAATAGGTCTAAGGACTTGGCTTAAGTGGTAGCTCCAATAGGTCAGATGCCCTGATTTTAAACTCTAGTACCAAAGAATTCAAACAACAAAAAGCAAGGGGGAGGTACATTTACTATAATGAGAAGCTCTATTTACCTGAAGATGGTGGGTGGGTTTCATACTATTTTAATAAAAAGTGGGGTGCAGCCAGGCACTGTAATCCTAGCTACTCAGGAGGCTGAGATCTGAGGATCACAGTTCAGAGCCAGCCTGGACAGGAAAATGTGAGACTCTTATCTCCAATTAACCACCAGAAAACCAGAAATGGAGCTGTGGCTCAAAGTGGTAGAGTGCCTTTGAGCAAAAGAGTTCAGGGACAGTGCCCAGGCCCTCACTTCAAGTCCTATGACCATTAAAAAAAAGTGGGGTACAGGAGCAATGGTGCTTTACCATTTAAGGTTATGAAGATTTTTTTTTTACTAAACCTTGTTTGCTTGTTATAAGCTATATATAATTCACTCATTTCAAGTATAATATTAGTATTTTAGTACATTTAGGATTGTGTAACCATCACTACGATATATTTCTGAAACATTCTTATTACCCTAAATAAATTAGCAGCCACCCCTTCCTACCCATCCTCCTGAATTCCTTCTGTCTGTAGGCAACTATTAACATACTTTCTATTTCCATAGATTTGCTTGTTTGGGATATTTCTGTAAATAGAGTCATACAATGTGTGATTCTTTGTTGACTGGCTGTTTTAGCAGAATGCTTTCAAAATCCATCTAGTGTGTGTGTGTGTGTGTGTGTGTGTGTGTGTGTGTGTGTATGTGTTTGGTACTGTCTATCTACTGCCCTTGTGTTTGAGCTCAGGGCCTATCACTTGCTTGCTGGCTGGCTTGCTTCTGTAGCTAGCACTCTACCACATGTGTCATGCCTCCAGCCCAGCATTTTGCTGGTTATTTTGGAGATGGCATTTCATGTTGGTTTCAAAGGGTGATGCTCTGGAGATCAGCTTCCTGAATAGTTAGTATTGCAGGCCTGAGACACCAGCACCTGGTTACTTTATAGTACTTTTGGCAGATTTTTTTGAGTCTATATTTTGAAATAAATTCTCTTTTAAAGTAAGATATAACTTGTTGCATGTGAAAGGACTCATAGCTGGTTTTCACGACTAGAAGCAGGGTGGGCCTGAGGAGAGAAGGAAGAGAAGGACCTGAGGGGAAACAGCTGACAGGAGCAGCTGACTTGCAGTGACAGTTGGGAAGGGAGATGTGGACTCCTACCCCGGCCTCCCCACACACTTTCTGCCATCTCTTAAGCGGGTCCTGAAACAAAGCTTTCGAGTGGCACGCTGGACTTTAGCGTTCCCCAGGCCCCACCCTCAGCATGCCCTACCCTCTCAGCGCCCCACAGTGTGGGTCTCAGAGTGGCCCGGAGGGCAGATCCGGAGCGCTGGCCGGCCAAGCCCCTCCCTCTGACTCACAGTGGTGCTTCCGCCCCTCATCTCCTGGGGCGGTGGCTGGGGATGGCCTGAGCCACAGCACTAGCAGGCAAATAGCAGGCGCCTGCTTAGGCTTCTGGTTTGAGACCCGAGGTCGGCCTGTGGGGGGTAAAGGTAGGGCTTCACTGATTCTGGGTCTTCTAGCAGTCCATACCTGCAGGCAAGCTCCTGGCCCGGAGAGAGCGAGGCCATGCGAACCAAGTGTTCTCTTCTTTGGAGACAAACTCTGTCTTGTTCTGGGGAGACTGCAGTGGGAGTAAACTTTGAGTTGAAAGAGAGAGGGGGGGGAGGAAGAGAAAGGGAGGACTGGTGGCTCAGGCCTGTAATCTTAGCTACTCAGGAGGCTGAGATGTGAGGATGGTGGTTTGAAGTCAGCCTGGGCAGGACAGCCTGTTAGACTCTAATCTCCAATGAACCACCCAAAATCCAGAAGTGGAGCTGTGGCACAAGTGGCTAGGAAAGCACTAGCTTTGAGCAGAGATGCTCAGAGACAGCACTCAGGCCTTGACTTCAAGCTCCAGGACTGGCACCAAAAAAGAAAAAGAAAAGAAAACAAGTTCTAGAGATTGCAGATTATTTATTAGCATATGCTTTAGAGTTCCCAGGGGCTGGGGAGAAACCCACGGGCTGCCTGGCCTGTCCCAGTATGTTTCTCCTTCTTTGTCATCCTCTCATTTTTTTTTCTCCCTTCCTGTGATGATAGGACTTTCTCTGGCTTGGAGAGACCCTCAGTGTAGGTAACAGCGATCCCCATTCATCCTGTCCCCTGGGTGGGTGCACAGAATTGAGCCACCCAGGTTCACACTGGTACAACCAGTATGACAACCTCAGAGGGAGGTAAAGGGGGGTGGAGAAGGGGTGAGGTATACTGTAACTTTCTTCCCCCGGAACTATTCACTAAACTGGCAAATAGGGGACAAAGAGGTGCTAGGTACACTTACTAGGGTCCCCTCACAAATTCTCATTGTGGCAAACCCTCCCCCAAAAGAAAACTTTTGTTGCTGATATGAAATAAATAGCAACCTGAAGAGAAAGAAGCCTAGATTTGTTTAGTATTTCTTACTTGCTTATTATTTATAGGCTCTCAATTAATCTTCATATTCTTCTGTATGCTCATTTTACAAGGAGGCTACAGGAAGTTGAGTAATTGACCTGAGAAAGCACAGTTGGTAAGTAGCCAAACTATTCAGCTCTTAACTTCTCTTCTAGGTTGTCTGCCCAGCCTCTGGTGCTTGTGTGAACAAGGCCTTCCTGGGATTCCAACTTTAAATACAAATATCTTGTATTTAAGGCTGTCTTTTGGAACCAGGCATGGTGGTCCATGACTCTCTGTAATCCCAACACTAGGGAGGCTGGGTCAGGAGGATCTAGAGTTAAAGGTCAGCTAGGCTAATGTTGCAAGACCAAATCTGAGTAAAAAAAAAAAAAGATCCAGGATGTGGTAGTTCATGGCTGTAATCCTAGCTATACCAGAGGCCAAGGTAAGAGGTTTGCAGATGAGTTGAACAGGCAAAAACATGAGACTCAATATGGAAAAACAAAAGGAAACAGAACACCTAAAAGCAAAAAGAACTGAGATGAGGCTTAAGTGTCAACAGGCCACAGAGATGCTTGGAGGTCTAATCCCACAGGTGGTGTTCAGCACCAGTTGTGAGTGGAAAAAGCAGAATGAAAATGCAAAGCCCTGAGTTCAAGCCTAAGTACCAGCACAACAAAACCGACCAAACAAACAAAAACCACATCCATCCAGTTTCAGGCTAAATCCTTGCTAGGATTTGGTTTGAAGGTTGACTAAGTATGAAGATTTGGTCCAAATTTTAATTACCAGTGCCAGGGCAGAAACCTTGACCCTCCACACCAAGTTCTATCTGGAACTAGATGTTGACTCACAGTTTTCTACAACAGGCTGCCAGCATCCTGGGCAGTAAGCCACGCTTGTGTGGCTGCATAATTGGGTGTTCATTTTTCCTGGAGCTTTACCCAGATTTTGCCCTTCTCTATGGATTCCGAGGGGGATGGGAGACTATCTTGACTGGCCTCCTACTCTGAGTGTGACTGTGGATGGTCACTTGTGTTCACAGGGCATCTGTATCCTCTGCAGAGCCAGCCACTGGGACAAGACTGTGATGTAGGAGGGTTGGCTGCCCCCAGGTGCAGTCTGCACCATGCTTATTTCTATAGCCGTTCCTGAGTGCCCTGCGCTCAGATTCTGTGACAGTGGACATCTGGTGACTGATTAGCAACAGAACTGTCTGGGGCAGGCAGGAGACCACAAAGACAAGTCAGAGCCCCAGCCACGCCCTCAGCACTGAGCTTTAAGAAAAAAAACAGTCAAATGCATTCAGACAAGAAGTCAGGGGGAGGAGGAAAAAGTGCTGTGGAGCCATTGACCCCACCCAGGAAGTGTGACTAACCCGGAGCATCAGGGGCTGTACAGACGTGCCTGTTGGGTCTGGTGAGTGGGGGCTCTGGGGAGTGGGAAACAGGGTATCTTGTGAGCTCTACATGCAGAGATGCCACCTGGGCCTGCCTTACTCAAAGCCGGTCACTATTCAAGGCTGGGGTGGGGACCTTTGGCCTCGCCCTGTGCACTTATGACCAGGTAGCCTGGTAGCCTGGGTTCCAAGCGCGCTCTGCTCTGTCTAGACCTGCCAGACTCCAAGCCCAGAGCCTCCTTTTGGAGGGGGTGGATGGGGTGGGGCTGGAGGAGAAAGAAAAGGGGAAGTTAGAAGTTGGGGTGGAGCAGCTGGAAAGAAGCAGTTCAAGACGCTGGAGCAGGAAGAAGTGGTGTCAGAGGTAATAAAGTGGGAGGTGGCTGTAAGGAATGATTATGCAGAGGAGAAAACGAAGGAATCCAGAAACCTCCACAGATCAAAACAGGCTTTTATTCAGGGTTAAAGCCTGAGAGGGCTGACAATCTTCCAGCCAGACTGGAGAGACAATGATGCACTCTTTTACAACTGAGGTCTCCTTTTATTTAGGCACGGAGAATGCAATCAGTCAGGCCAGGAGCCTGGGGGTAATTTGTCACGGGAGAGGAGGCAGGATGGGAACAGGGGAAGGGGTTCTTTGTGCAGAGATTGAATCTTATAGCATTTGTTTTTAGCAGACATGTCAACTCATGGTAGGGCCCTCAATCTACAGTTTACCCTTTTGCAATGGCAGGGTGTGTTTGGCGAGAGGGAAGAGGGTGGGAGATGATTCAGATTAATTGAAGTCTGCCCCAAGGGCCGTATTTATGACAAAGGTGAGTGGTTTGAGTTGAAGGCATTTCCCATCAGTGGCCAGCAGAGGGAGCTGGGGGCTGTCCAGGACACTTTAGGGGGACACAGATGAGAGCTGGTTGCCCAGGGTCTTGAAACTGAGTTAAGAATGATGCCGTCCTGGCACATTTATGCCAGGCTCCAGGTGCCTTCCTTGACTGCAGTCTTGCGAGTTTGGAGGTGGGCCATCTGGCTTGTGCCCAAGCTGCCAATGGAGGAACTTGTAGTCTTTCATCCTAGCCTGTGGGAAGGGGTGTCAGACTTCAATGCCGAAGCCCTCAACCAGCCTAGTGGTGAATTTAGATTTGGTTCTCCCAGGCTCCAAGACAGCATTGTGGCAGAGAGTTTGTGGAGAGATGTGGCAGGCCTAACCATATGAATTCAAACATTGGGTGTAGAATGGGGTTTAATAGTTCCCAGCAGAAGATATGGCTGAAGGCAGGGCAGGAAGGAGATGGAGGTGGAGCTGGAGGGCTGGGAGCTGGGATCTGGGGAAAAGAGTACGTGATCCCAGAGAGGCTCCTCTGGATGGCTCCTGAGAAGCCCTGGACAGTTTAATGGGACACTTAGCCCCAGCTTTCTGCCCCAAGGCTGCTTCAGTCCATATCTGCCTGTTAAAATCTTGGGCTGTCCTTTAAATTCCATCTGGTGTAATAACTGGAGCTCATTAAGAACTGCTAAACTGGGGCTGGGAATGTGGCTTAGTGGTAGAATGCTTACCGAGCATTCATGAAGCCCTGGGTTTGATTTCTCAGTATCACATAAACAGAAAAAGCTGGATGTGGCTCTGTGGCTCAAGTGGTAGAGTGCTAGCCTTGAGCAAAAGAAGCTCCTAGACAGAGCCCAATGCCCTGAGTTCAAGCCCCAGGACTGGCAAGAAAAAGAACAACAACAACAATAAACACCTTTGAGTATCTGCAAGGTAGTAGGCACTAAGAGGTTTAGCTAGATGTGGAATCTAGTTCTGAGAAACAGAATCTAGCTCCTGCTCCAAAGGCCCTCCCTTATAGTCTGGTAGAAGGGGGACAGTGCCTAACTCTCCTCACTATGGAAGAACAGAAGATCTAGAAAGGAGCTGGCTGTAGCTCATTGGCAGAGAAAGGAGAGAGGGAGGGAGAGAGAGGGAGAGGGAGAAGGAAAGGAAGAGAGAGAGAGAGAGAGAGAGAGCATAAAGAAGTTTCCCATCAGAGCATTCAAGAAGAGAATGGTTGGTGAGGGCTATTACGGAAGTGCTGAGTGTGTGCAGGTTCTATGTTGGGAGGCAGATCAGGACTAGATCAGCACTAAGGCTCCTTCTAAGGCTGACATCTGTGATTCTGTGACATTCCTCTCCTGGGGGAGGTTGGCAGGTTCATTAGATGGTTGGCTACTCATGTCTCTGTGCCGTCTAAATAGGGCACAAGGCCTGGGCCTTTTTTCATCTCTGTGTATTCTTGACCCTGCCCCCCACCCTGAAGTCTGCCTTTGGAGAGCACCCAGCATGGGCCTTGAATGGAATTGAATAGACTCTGTCATAGACTGCTTGCTAGACCAGTGCACCAACGTATCAGGTTCTGGAGACATGAAACAGTCTTCCAGCCAGCCAGCACACAGGGGCTGAAGTGTGTGCTCCTAGCAGAGAGGGTTGGGAGAACTTCCATAGGAAGCTGAGACACCAAATGGCCCAGAGATTCCTAAGACCGCTGGGGCTTGATATGGGCCTGCAGGGATGTTGGACTTTGATGGAGGCGAGATACTCGGGAACATTGATGAGCCAAAGGGCTGGGACAAGGAGGAAAGACTGAAAGGCCAGATGTTAGGATGGACCTTTTCTCTGGAAGAGCCTGGACAGAGGGTCAGGATATGCGGCAGGATCCTTAACCCTGCTCTAGAACTTCTCAAAAACTGGTAGTCAGGCTCTGAGTCTGGTTTTAGCTAACCCAAAATGGCTTTGAGGCATCAGGAGTGTTTTTTTTTTTTTTTTTTTGCCAGTCCTGGGACTTGAACTCTTAGGCACTATCTTTGAGCATCTTTGACTCAAGGCTAGCACTTGACTTGAGTCACAGCTCCACTTTTTTTTTTCTTTTTTTGTAGTTTACTGGAGATAAAAAGTCTTGCAGACTTTCCTGCTTGGGCTGGCTTTGAACTGAGTCACTGATGCTCACTTAGACATCAGGAGTTTTAAGGATCCCCAGATGATTCAGTTTGCCAAGAGTTCGATGTTATTCTTAGAGAATCTGCTGCTAGTATTGAGGTCACTTCAAACATGTTTCAGAACTGTGGAGGCAGATTTTCTAGGCTGGGGACATGGGTACTGTTAGGGGAAAATGTAGTAATACTTGAAAATGCACAATAAAGACTTTGAGAATGATGCCCTGGGTGTAGGGACCGTAGCATCAGGGTCTTGAGTTTGGGAGAGAGACTGTGTTTAATGCTGAACACAGCATGGGCAAGTGAGAAATTTTATTTTATTTTATTTTTTGTCCGTCGTGGGGCTTGAACTCTAGGCCTGGGTGCTATCCCTGAGCAATTTAGCTCACGACTAGCTTACCACTTGAGCCACAGCGCCACTTTTGGCTTTTTCTGCTTATGTGGTGCTGAGGAATCGAACCCAGGGCCTCATGCATGCGGGGCAAGCACTCTACCACTGAGCCACCTTTCCATCCCTGCAAGTGAGAATTTTTATCTAAGGAGCAGAGTAAGGGGTCAAGGAGTGGAAAATTACTGAAAGAAATGCCAGGGGTAAGGAAGGTTCTGTCCAAACTGACTTAACAGGATTCTAGAAGAAGTTTGTCCAGGTTGATCAGAAATCACCTGGAGGGGGAGTGGAAGATAAGTGAATCTGATCAGAAGAGGAGATGACTGAATGTGGAGGGAAGGAGGACTTGTGACTAAACAGGCCTAGCAAACTGGCCCAAACTGGATTTTGCAAGGAAGTGTACTGATGGGCCTAGGAGAAGATTCAAAAGCCTGAGGGATTTTTGGACAAGGAACCTTGGTGAGTGGATAAAATTATATAAGGTCTTGAGGTAATTCTATTGGGCAGCTAGGGTGATGAAGGAGCTGGTAGCCAAACCTCTTTCATCAGAATCCTGAAATGTCTGAGGAAGGTGGGTTAATTTGTCCTAAGTTCTTATTTCAGGAACAGAACGACAAGGCTGGCAATTGGCTCACTCCATTTCTCATTCTGAGCTCTTCCTGCCAGCTTGGGTGGGGCGGCTACCACTTCCCACCTGAGTCACCAGCTGGTGGGCTGTCTGTAGCAGGGGATGTGGGCATACCATGTGATCCTATGTGGGATGGAGAAACTTTAGCTCTTCCCCGCCCCCTGACTGCCTCCCAGTCTCAGGAAAATGTGACACCAAAAAAAAAAAAAAAAAGCCTTCCACTATTTTTAGGTTGATAATGGAAAGTCATAATTCAGATGGTATTTCATAGCCATTATTACCAAGGCTCTGCCTCTCCTCTTTTCTACTCAGACTCAATACCTTGCTCTCCAAGCTACCATTCAGAGTCTCTTCCCTCTAGCAGCCTCAATCTCCAAGAGTCTTCTAATTAATTAATTAATTTATTATTATTATTATTTTGTCGGTCATGGGGCCTGAACTCTGGGCCTGGGCGCTGTTGCTCACAGCTAGCACTCTACCACTTGAGCCTCAGCACCACTTCTGGCTTTTTCTGCTTATGTGGTGCTGAGGAATCGAACCCAGGGCCTCATGGATGCAAGGCAAACACTCTACCACTGAGCCACCTTCCCAACAAGAGTCTTCTAATTTTACAATTTTTTTTTTGTCGGTCATGGGGTTTGAGCTCTTCAGCTCAAGACTAGTGCTCTACCACTTGAGCCACAGCCCTACTTCCGGTTTTCTGGTGGTTTATTGGAGATTAGTTTCATGGCCTTTCCTGCCAGAGCTGGCTTTGAACTGTGATCCTCAGATTTCATCCTCCTGAGTAGCTAAAATTACAGGCATGAGCCACCAGTGCTCAGCTATTATTTTCTTTTTTTTTTTTTGTTGGTCGTGGGGCTTGAACTCTGGGCCTGGGTGCTGTCCCTCAGCTCTTCAGCTCAAGGCTGAGCGCTCTACCACTTGAGCTACAGCGCCACTTCCGGTTTTCTGGTGGTTTATTGGAGATAGGAGTCTCACGGTCTCTCTTGCCCGGGCTGGCTTTGAACCGTGATCCTCCTCAGCCTCCTGAGTAGCTAGGATTACAGGTGTGAGCCACCAGCGCCCGGCTTCAGTTATTATTTTCTACTTTATGTTTTCACCTTCAGTTTCCCCAGACCTTAATCCAACACCACAGAGGCAGAGAGCCTTATAAAAACCTTAACTGAGCTGGACATTGGTGGCTCATACCTGTAATCCTAGCTACTCAGGAAGTTGAGACCTGAGTCAGACTGGGTAGGCAAGTCTTATGTCCAATTAACCATCAGAAAATTGGAAGTGGAGCTGTGGTTCATGCTAGCCTTGAGTAGAAGCCCCCAGGCCCTGAGTTCAAGTCCTATGACTAGCAACCCCCCCAAAACAAAACAAAACCAACCAACTAACAAATGAACAAAAACCTTAGTTGAATGGACCTATGTGTTATATTAAGTGCTTGCTGGAATTTAGTCTCTACATTTTAACCCCTCATCCCCACCAAGAAACCAGCTAACAATAGGAACATAAAAAAGACAGTGAATGAAACTGTAGTGATTATATTTTTTGAATTAAAAAAAAGATAATGAGTTTTTAAAGATGTTTGCCTTTAGAATTCTCTCCCCATTCTAATATATTTTGTCCAAGGAATTTTGGCCCTGCTGACCTACGGAATAATGATGGCATTCATCATCCTAGTATTGGAGGCAAGCTAAGCACTCAGAAGTGATAGCTGATGTCTGGGAATGAGACACAGTTTCAATATGAGATCCAAGCTGGCCTCATTCTCACGATCTTTATGCCTTGGAATGCTGAGTACTAGGATGTTACCATGGCCAGCCCCCCCCTTTTTTTTAAAAATCAAAATGGACATATAGAATTTTGCTAAGTGCTTTTCTCTACATGTATTGGAATTTATATTTGGTAGTATATATAATACACACACACACATATACACAAATATGCTTCACACATATATGTTTATTAATAGGGCGGTTTAATCCCAGAGATTAAACCAACCTTGCATTCCTGGGATAAACCTCATTTGGTCATCATCATCATTATTATTATTTTTTTGTCGGTTGTGGGGCTTGAACTCTGGGCCTGAGCTCTGTCCCTCAGCTCTTCAGCTCAAGGCTAGTGCTCTACCATTTGAACTACAGTGCCACTTCCGTTTTTCTGATAATTTATTGGAGATAAGAGTTTCACGGACTTTCCTGACCAGGCTGGCTTTGAACCGTGATCCTCAGATCTCAACCTCCTGAGTAGCTAGGATGAACCACCAGATATCATTATTTTTTTGGTTGGTTGTGGGGCTTGAAGATCAGGGCCTGAGTGCTGTCCCTGAGCTCTTTAACTTAAGGCTAGTGTTCTACCACTTTGAGCCACAGCACCATTTCTCTCTGATATCTTAGTGGTTAAAACCTGCCCAGCTGTTTTTTTTTTGGTCCGGTAGTGGGGCCTGGACTCTGGGCCTGGGTGCTGTCCCTCAGCTCTTCAGCTCAAGGCTAGCACTCTACCACTTGAGCCACAGTACCACTTCTGGCTTTTTTCTTTTTGCTTATGTGGTGCTGAGGAATCGAACCCAGGGCCTCATGTATGCAAGGCAAGCACTCTACCACTGAGCCACCTTCCCAGCCCTGCCAGCTGGTTTTGAATTGCAATCCTCAGATATCAGCCTCCTGAGTAGCTAGGATTACAAGCATGAGCCACTGGCACTTGGCTTATTTATTTATTTTCATGCTGTACTAGGGCTTAAACTCAGGGCCCGTGATCACTCCATTCACTTATTCACAGCTAGCACTGTCTCACAGACTTTTTTAGTCCCAACTGGCTTCAGATTGTCCTCTGGATCTCAGACTCCCGGGGTTTACAAGTGTGAGCCACTGATGCATTGTTCCAGTTGAAGTTTTAATAGGGTGCTGAGTTACAGAAAGGCATAGGGGTTTGGGATTCTGAGGGGTAAGTAGCCACTGGCTATGGGAGGCTGAGGAGAAGACATGACAACAAAGGTTGGCTACTGCAGAAATAAAGCCTTTAGGGTAACAGCTTCAGAAGAATAGATAGATGGCTACTGTAGCACACTCTGGGCAGGGTATCAGACCTTTTCCTCTAAGTTCATCTTCTCTATTTAGTGAGAAAGTATGTGTAAAGGGAGTGGACTTGACAATTGCATTTCTACAGAAGAAACTCTCTTTAGTCAGATAAGAGAACTGGGAAGGTGGCTCAGTGGTAGAGCCCTCACCTTGT